TTCACCCAAAAATGAAAATTCTGTCATTAATTACTCACCCTCATGTTGTTCCAAACCTATAAGACCTTTGTTCATTTCCAGAACACAAATTAGATATTTTTGATTAAATCCGAGAGCTGTCTGACCTTGCATATGTAACCGCTCTCTCCCGGGTCCTCACTGCCACACCTCGTTCTCGCTCCGAGTGGGTCTCCGGCATGGGAGGCGGGCGCACTAACAAGGAGGCTAAAGACTGCAGCCTCTAGCATCAGTCTCTAGTACGTCTCTTGAGATCAGGGGAGTGAGGTTTACCTGCACAGCACCTACTCGCTGGCCTCCGTTACACATAGACAGCAACGCAACTACCACGTTCAAGGTCCAGAAGCAAGGACATTGTTAAAATAATCCATGTGACATCAGTGGTTCAACTGTAATTTTTTGAAGCTACGAGAATACTTTTTGTGCGCAAAAAAAACAAATAACGACTTTATTCAACCGTTCGTCTCCTCCTCATCACCCTGATGCTATTTTGGAGAGTATCACCACGTATGCGCGTGCTTTGATCGGAACGTAAACAACGTATGCGCGTGATGCTACTGACACAGAACAGCATATGTTGTTTACGTTCAGATCAAAGCACACGGTTGAACCACTGATGTCACATGGATTATTTCAACAATGTCCATACTATGTTTCTGGACCTTGATCGTGGTAGGATCCTTGCTATCTATGGGAGGGTCAGAGAGCTCTCGGAATTCATCAAAGATATCTTAATTTGTGTTCCGAAGATGAACGAAGGGCTTATGGGTTTGGAACGATATGAGGGTGAGTAATTAATGACAGAATTTTTATTTTTCTGTGAACTATCCCTTTTACTAGAAACCACCATTAATACGGTTATATCGACATTCAGCACTGTTGCGCTACGGGCGTCCCGAGTTCGAATCCTGACTCAAGGACCTTTCCCAATCCCCCCCTCCTTATTATGATCTTTCCTATCAATAAAAATAAATCTAAAAATAAATCTTAAAAAAGAATTAGCTGACCTGAAAGTGTTATGATAAACAATATAATATGACTAAATATAATATTATTTTGTGATGTTGTGCCACAAAAATACAATGTAGACATCACTGTCTTAAACTTTTACAAATTTGTTAGATTTGTGTATAATTGAAAATAAAGGCAATTATAAATATATAATTATATATTTGCCATTAGAAGTCCCGGTTGCTATAGAAATAGTCAGCGTTCTGAGACGTGCACTCAGGACTGCGCATGCGCACTGGCTGGCCTAGCCTGAATAATACACTTTTTATAATGCTATTTGAGCAAAATAAACATGACACAGTTGTCAGATTTCTTTGGTGATTTCAAATATGAAATTTAATCGAAAGCTTAGTGAACAGTTTTGGAAAATTTGATGTTTCCCCATTCAAAGATACAGGAGTTGCATTGTGGAGTTGCATTGCATGCCCGAGAGGCGTTTCAAAGATAGCTGCCAAGTGACATGACTTGTCTTAAAGGGACTTTGATTTATAACAGCTAAGTTAAGGGGCAATGTTAAGGTAATTGAACACTGAGTCCGAAATTCTCGTCCGAAATTTTTGCACGTTAAAAATGAATACGACCTCACATTGTGTCAATCACATTTACACACTGCCTCCAAAACTTTCGTCCGTCATAAAAAAATCCGGACCAGGTTTGATTTTCTGCTTTTTCGCATCCGTAGCAAGCATTTTGATAGGAAGGGATGACTAATACGAAAAACAAAAACAAAAAAATACATACGAAACTTTTTGACTCCGTGTGCAAATACCTTTAGGCATGACAGCTGTTATAGGAGCTGTTATAAATTCACTGTAAACCACAGCTTCACGGGGCTTATTGCTTTTATAAAACGGTTATTCCATATACGTAGTGAGGTTTCACTAAATAAAACAAAGCAAATAAAATGTGATGATATTAATAAATACATTATTCTTCCGCCAAACAATGTAGTTCCTCAGAAACGGTTGTGGTTGCAACAAAGTGGTTGCCGAGCAACACACAGACGCAGCAATATACACACTGGGCAGGTGTTTGTTTGTAGAGTAATTTACAGCTTCGAAAGTGGCTCAACCAATCAGAATCAAGAACTGGAACTATCCGTTTTATAATATGATTTCATATTCTCTAAGCTGCTATAACTTTAAAGATCACAATCCTGAAGCTGCTTCCTATTGTATTTCAGATTTAGGTCAAATATTCATCCTAGGATGTTTTTTTCTGTACAAACATGTTTACTCAGTCTTATCTCATTGCATTTCAGGTTTAGTTCAATGTTTCTGTCAGATATAAGGCATCCAGAATATCAAAGACCAAGGTCAGTATTTCTCAAAAGGCTTTTCATGTAATCTCATACGTACAGATGTATCGTTAGACGTGTTTGCGCTTAACACACATGGTCGTTTTCTGTTGTAGGCGACATTACTCTCCAGGAGATATGCATTGCAATGAGGTGGTGAACAGGTAAATATTACAACCGGTCCAAAAGAGACAATCAGAAAGACCAGTAGAGTGAAAGACAAATATTTGGATAGATGTTAACAAAATTTGTGCTAATCTCTTTCATCCAAAGGCCTCTGCAGATTCCTGACAGAATCACGTATCCTCTACTGAATGCGGAAAGTGAGGAGAGGTTTCCTGTGTACAAATCTCGCGCTCACCGAATGGACATGACATCGGAGGAAGAGCTCGGAGCCTCTGGGAGACGAGAGCCTTACCTGAGGAGGGACAGAGTTTTAGGAGATACGACGAACCCTGAAGGAACCACACAAGCTAATTTTAAGGTATGCTGCTGGATGTTAACATATAACGATGTTCAGCCCTAAAATTTGATTGCATGAGCCAGATTCTGAGCTCCCATAAAATTGCCTATATATGCATGTCAAATAAATTCTATATTAATATGATATTATTATGTAATTGAATCTAAATAAATCCTGTACTGATGAAATTATTCATTATTCATCCTTCCAAGTCATTATTCATGACAACAAAGATTAATTTGTAGCAGATCTATACAGGTGGAGCTGGGGAAGGTGGAGGGCAGGGTTGTCACGTTTTCGCAAACAAAACCCGTCCAATTTCTACTCAAAACTAGCCCAAAACTAGCCCAATCGTGTCTCGAGGGGGGTCCCCCCTCATGTGCTGCAACTGCTACCACAAGCAATAGATAAGTATTTGAATGTTGAGCAGCGAGCTCATTGGCTACCGATACAGGAGAGAACCAATCAGCTGTGAAATGTGATAATGATGTCATCATGTCATATTAAGTTAGACCTATTGGACTGCGCCATCTAGAGTTTCATGCCAGAACTTTGTATAAACACAGACACACACACACACACATACACATGTATATATCCTTTTTTCATTAGTAGCCACCATTTAATGAAAGCCGCAAGTCACTCAAGATCATTCATTACAGTGATTTTTACTTTAGTTAAGGGATGTTGTTTGCTTTTCTCACAAAAGCCGTCAGAACTGTCACGGAGCAAGACTTTCAGCACTTTGAGCGACATTCTTAAGCGGGTCAATGCACGTGCGAGTTCCTCAGGACAGCAGAGGACAGACAACCCGGCGCCAGGCGTCAGCAAATCCACACTGGACCTCAATTTACAGCGTTCAGACACGGCATCAAACGCTCGAACCACCGTAAGAGAGAACGAGATTTCTCATTCATATGCACTTTATGTGCCAGCTGTTAGGATAAAAGATAAACACACAGTTAGCACTAAAAGAGCCATTAAAACTCTCATGTTGCCACTGATATTTCAGGCATATTTCATGTCATTATTAATGAAACATTGTTATTTTGAATTTATTTCCGTGAACCACATCTGTGGCATGTTTGTTGTCAGTTATAACTTATTCCTCAGTAAACATACATGTACAACTGAACCCTAGAAGAGAACTATTCTAGATTTAAAATATACAACATCACACTGTCTCAAAAGTACACATAGAGTTTAGTAAGTTTAGTTTAGTAGTTTAGTAAGTTTTTTTTTTTTTTAAGAAATTAATACTTGTATTCAAGAAGGGTGCAATAAATTGATCAAAAATAACATTAATTTAAATTGATAACAATTTCAACAAAATGAATAAATAAATTAAATTGAATAAGCAGCACAATTTTTTTCAGGATTTATAATAATAAGAAATGTTTCTTGAACAGCAAATCAGCATATTAGAATGATTTCTGAAGGACCATGTGACACTGAAGACTGGAGTAATGATGTTAAAAATTCAACTTTGCCATCACAGAATAAAATACATTTGAATTCATATTCAATCAATAAACAGCTATTTGAAATTGTAATAATATTTCTCAATATTACTGTTTTACTGTATTTTTGATCAAATAAATGTTGAGCCAAAGATACTTTTTTTTTTCAAAAATATTTAAAAAAATCTTACCAACCCCAAACTTTTGAATGGTAGAGTATAACAACAACTCAAAAAAATATTACATTAAACATTACATTACTGTGATTGTTTCTTAAAAACTCTTGCTATTGTAGGATTGGTCATGTACATTTTTAACGCAATAACACTACATTGTTAATGCATAATCAGAAGTTCATCCTCCTAGAATTTAATCAATTTAATTTAATTGAAATGTTTATAATTTTTTATTTTATTTTATTATTTTATTTTATTTTATTATTTTATTTTATTTTATAATTTTTTATTTTTTATTTTTATTTTTTAAAATTTTATTAGGCTGGTACTCTTAAAGTGGTTAAATGAGCCAGATGTTCCTTTAGAACTTTAAGAAATGACCCGCTTCTGTTGTCTTTCAGAACTGTGATAATCTGCCCCTGACTCCAGCTCTGGCACTTATGAAAAAGAGAAATGATGAGATTAAATCGGGACTGTTGAGGAGCATGCCCAGTGTGTTCACACCGGGACTCAGAACTCCCAACTTTGGCCTGCAGAGGGAGACATGGAGGTCTCCGTTCAGAAGCCATAGAAGTGAGGAGGAGCACTGATCTTATGCAGGAAACCCCAGACAATGACATCAACAGTGTTACAATAATTCCCACATATTTAAATATGTAAATGTCACTGTAATAAACAGGGCTGCAGGTAAAAGGGGATTTTCCTGCTTACAGAGAATAAATATTTATCAGCAGTGATGTTACATTTGAAAAATAAGGCTATTAATACATGCCTGATTTAAATGTGTTATTGAAAGATGGGATGGACTGTCTTTGAATTTTAAAGGCCAAATGTGTATACTGCCTACCGTTTAACATTTTAACTAGATTTATAAATTAAGAATTTTAGAGGCTAGCTCGTTTTATTTAAATATGCTGTGTTTAAAGTCAGCATGAAATTGTTTGCAGTTCATTTTACTTTTGTACATCCATTGGTCAAAAAAGGAAAGTTGTTTCAGAGGTTATTCATTTTGCTGATTGTTTTTCCCTTTGGAATAATATGCACTGATGAATCATTCAAAATAAGATTAAAAATAAATAAATAATAATAGACTGTAAAAAAGATGTTTTCAAAATTGTAAATAAAACTAAAATTACCGCAGTATATTTTATAAGAAAATACTTCAGTCTTTCTACGTCAAAATTTCATGTTTACTGTAATTCAATGTGTTACTTGATGTTTCTTTGTAATTATTTGTCAAATTTACTAGCAGTTTTTGAGTGAAAAATGTTTCAAAGTAAATTTAAATTAAAGTAAATTTGGATTATATGTTGATTAAATCATTAGACCTGTCTGGATGGGCTGCTAAGATTAAACAGAAATAGAAAACAAGTTTGTTATGTGGGGGGATCAGTGGATTGTAATTGTAAATGTTAATCACTGCATTGTTTTCCCTGATATAAAATATAGTTAAATGGCGTAGATTTCACATTGGTTGTGGTTCCCCTTTCAAAAATGAAATTAAAGACATTATTTTATTACTAAAGAGAAAGGAATATCCCTGCACTTTGAACTGGCTCGTTAACATTTATGAAAAAAAAAAAGCTGATGAGTCATTCATTCATGGTTATGTGCCTCTTTTATATGCGTGTGTGTGTGTGTGTGCGTGTGTGTACATGTGATTGTATTTGTGACGTTGAGGAACTTACAAATGTGGTTTTACGTGTGAGCTCTTCAGACTTTGTATAGAAGCAGCTCACTAGAGCAGATCAGTATTCTGTCAGAGACTTGTGTTAACAGACGGCTTGTCGTGGAGGATGAAGCTGCTCCATGGACTGATCCTGGCTGTGTCTGTCCTGGTTCTGGCTGCAGGACACAGTGTGGAATCTGGATGTCTGGACTTTAACTTTGATTTGAGGGACTCCAGTATAAAGTGCTGTAAGAAGTGTAAACCAGGTGAGTTTTGAAAAGGAATGATTAGCTTTGGGATAAAATGACTGATAATATATACACTAGTCAACATTTGAAGTGGATCAAAACCTTTCATCAAAGTTGTCCTAAAACCAAAATGCGTTCTTGTCTTAGGACAACTTTGATGAACTTTTTTGATCCAAATGTTAACTACTTTATATAAATGTATGTATGGCAAGCAATATAAATATGCTTTTAAACTACAGATCTTGACTTGACCTTTGGCTAGTAAAAGTATATACACTCTAAAAAATGCTGGGTTAAATACAACCCAGTGCTGGGTAAAATAGGGACAAACCCAGCAATTGGGTTGTTTTGACCCAGCGGTTGGGTTAAATGTTTAACCCAACCTTCTGGGTAGTAACGCAACCACTGGGTCAAAACAACCCAATTGCTGGGTTTGTTAATATACAATTAACAAAAAGCAAAAAAAAGGGGCCTCTAACATTTGCTTGCTCTATTCTTTTTCTATTCTGTTTTCTTTTTATTTATTATATAATTTAAAAAACCCTTGTTACGTGTACTGCGTTAAGCTAACTGAGACTTGTTCTAGCACTTGTGTATCATTGCTCTTTTGTTGATTTTGATTGCTTCCATTGTCCTCATTTGTAAGTCGCTTTGGATAAAAGCGTCGGCTAAATTACTAAATGTAAATGTAATTACTTTTTGCTTATATTTTTGCTTGATGTGCAAAATTCCCGTAGGAATAATTTGACACAAATTTTGTAAAGGAAAAAAAAATCATACTGAAATCATATTTTTTCTCCTTTTAGCCCCATATAAAAGGCTTATAAAAGGGGCATTTGGTTAAAAAAAAACTTTAAAGAATGCTTATTGTTTATTGCTGTAAACTGAAAAAAAGAACGATTGCATGGGTAAAAAGAGAGGGAAAAGAAGAAATAGAGAAACAAATACTTTGTACCATGATATACTTAGAGAGTACAATGTAACATTTAGTATTTTAGTAAGATTTAATAATACAAAAAAGGTCACATAAGAAAGGAAATGTTTAATGTAGAGAGATGCCAGGATTTGTCTCAATGGAAATTATGATTTTTGTAATACTATAGTACATTTAATTACTATTAATAAATAAAAAAAAGCAAAAAATTAACAAGCAACACCACTAATATCAATGTAAATAGAAACCAAATGACAATTTTTATGCATTTAATTTCTGGCATATGATTTTGAATGCATTTGATATTTTCATGAGAGGTGCTGGAGAAAGTGTTTTGAAAGGACTAAACCCCAAAACTGGAAATAGAATTACTAGGAGAATATTACTGACAGTGTGTTATCAAGCACACGAGTCAATGTAAATGTAGTTCATAGTATCTAGTCTGTTTTAAGTACATATGAAGAACGTAATATAAAGTGCATCTCAGTTTCCCCTCATGATCATGTGCGATCATATGATAAAAACCACATCTGAGGTTCACTTTCGATTTGATTATCGTGCATCAGAGATGTCTTTTCACCAGAAGGAAACTCTGTCTGATGTAGAATACAGAGTGAGGTTCAAAAGTCCATGTGTGAAGATGCTTCTATGTTTAATTTTTTCTTTAATTTGTTATTTTAATTAATATGTTATTTAAATTAGGTTATTATTTATTTCCTATACTACAAATAAGCATAGTAATCGAAAAACAAACTCACTCATTTATTTATCAGATTAGTCTACTAGAAACAGTCAATTAAATATTCCTCATCAATTTATGTCAGTGTTTCATTGTTAATTTTTTTATACTAAAGCTTTATTCATTTCCAGATGTTCAAAGTGTATGTGTGTGTTTGTTGCAGGAAACCGTCTTGTCGCTACTTGTGGTCCAGATCCAAATGCTTTGTGTACTCCGTGTGAAACAGACAACTTTATCACTGATGGAAACCCATGGGTGTGCAAGATATGTGATAAGTGTTCAGGTACAGGATTTAATGTAGGCCATATATTTTTCCTTTTTAACTAATGTCCAGACCATCCTTACATCCCACTGCCCGTTCATGTCCATGTGTTCTGGCAAAAAAAAAAAAGACATATTCTGATGATGTTTACATGTGTGGGTGGGTCTAAGGGAAAGGGACCAATCAGGTTGCAGCTTACCTGTTGAGAAGAAACTCTGCAAGTTCTTCTAATCAACTGAAACTCAAACATTTCATCAAATTCCTCCTTCTTGTAAAAACGCTGCCGATGTTTACCCTCTGTCTCTGAGTATTTTGGCAAGTCTTCGAATTTCTGTAAGATCTCTAATGGAATCTGAATTTCTTTTTCCCCACTGGCTAAACACCCTGTGGCTCAGCCTGTCACAATAGCCACGCCCCAAACTCTCGCTATTGGCTGCACAGGGGTATGCAAATACATAGTTTCCCAGACAGCAACATAGTGTTAGCTCAGATCCGGTCCACATCTGGCCCACGTGAAATCCATGCGGGCCAGATGTGGGATTGAATTGACATATTTCCATACAAACTCACAACTGCGAGGGGAAAAAAATCTAAATTGTGAGATAAAAAGTCACAATTACTTTTTTTATTTTGCAAACAAGCTTCCATAGTTAATAGACTGACCCAAAAATTGGAAATTTTATCTTCGCGAAATCTAATATAATTTTAGGTATAATTTTGTCATCGTGACATAAATTTGTGTATGATTTTCAGTTTGAAAAGCAACAGTATCGGTCACATTAGGAGCTGAGAACACGTTTGGTTCTGTGCTATTCACATCTAGTGTCACTCAGATGAGATTCAGTATGATGAATGTAGCTGCTTGTGTTTTGATGAGGTCCTCTGCTCCAGGTAAAAACAGGCAGGTGAAGGTGAACTGCACCGCCAGCAGCGACACAGTTTGTGAGTGTAAACCGGGATATCGATGTGCTAATGACAAATGCTCTAGATGCATTGAAGAGTGTGGCAAGGGACACCAGCCCAGTGCAACAGGTGAGTCTGAATAGAGATAACTGATCCGTTTTTTTATTTAAAACTAAAAAAATAGGCATCTGACTGCAAGATATTTCTTGTGTGAATTCACAAGGCTGTGAGCCATGTCCTCCAGGGACGTACAATGACAAGATCCATCAATACTGCATAAACTGGACCAAGTATGATGCATTTCCCATCTTTTCATTCACCTATTCATGTAGCTACGTATCATAAGCAATGTTAAACACTGTATCTCTCAACCCACAGATGTACGAAGCCAGACCATCAAATAATAGTGCCTGGAAATGCATACACAGATGTAATCTGTGGCCCTAAACCAGACCCCAAACCAACAGTGTTGCCTGCAAGTGACACGGAAAGTGGTATGAATGACAGAAATAAATAGCAGAGAATATGTGGGCCACGTTCAAACTGACCTCACTGATAACAGACATCATAGGAGGATGTGTGTATATGTGTGTGTGTAAGATTACCTTTTAAACGATGTAAAACTATAAATTTGATTTCCATTGGCATTGTTGCTATTTGCTACAGAGGTCACTGTTATTCTCATCATCTTTGGGCTCATCAGCATAGCAATACCTGTTGCTACAATCCTCTTCCTGGAGTGGAGAAGAGGAAAGGCCACTCAGAAACCCCATGTTGAAAAGGAAACTCATGCAGGTAAACATCTTTGTGTGCTTTCTTTAGTTATTCAGCACATAGGTTTGCTAGAGAGCTCTTGTATCTTCATGCACCTTTCTAGCATGAACATGTTTTTCTGTGTGTCTTTTGCTCAGCAGGAGGACAGACTCAAATGTCTCTTCTTGATGAACCCAGCTTCTGTTTTCCGCAGCAGGAACACGGCGGTAGCTGTCCAGACCATCCTTACATCCCACTGCCCGTTCATGTCCATGTGTTCTGGCAAAAAAAAAAAAGACATATTCTGATGATGTTTACATGTGTGGGTGGGTCTAAGGGAAAGGGACCAATCAGGTTGCAGCTTACCTGTTGAGAAGAAACTCTGCAAGTTCTTCTAATCAACTGAAACTCAAACATTTCATCAAATTCCTCCTTCTTGTAAAAACGCTGCCGATGTTTACCCTCTGTCTCTGAGTATTTTGGCAAGTCTTCGAATTTCTGTAAGATCTCTAATGGAATCTGAATTTCTTTTTCCCCACTGGCTAAACACCCTGTGGCTCAGCCTGTCACAATAGCCACGCCCCAAACTCTTGCTATTGGCTGCACAGGGGTATGCAAATACATAGTTTCCCAGACAGCAACATAGTGTTAGCTCAGATCCGGTCCACATCTGGCCCACGTGAAATCCATGCGGGCCAGATGTGGGATTGAATTGACATATTTCCATACAAACTCACAACTGCGAGGGGAAAAAAATCTAAATTGTGAGATAAAAAGTCACAATTACTTTTTTTATTTTGCAAACAAGCTTCCATAGTTAATAGACTGACCCAAAAATTGGAAATTTTATCTTCGCGAAATCTAATATAATTTTAGGTATAATTTTGTCATCGTGACATAAATTTGTGTATGATTTTCAGTTTGAAAAGCAACAGTATCGGTCACATTAGGAGCTGAGAACACGTTTGGTTCTGTGCTATTCACATCTAGTGTCACTCAGATGAGATTCAGTATGATGAATGTAGCTGCTTGTGTTTTGATGAGGTCCTCTGCTCCAGGTAAAAACAGGCAGGTGAAGGTGAACTGCACCGCCAGCAGCGACACAGTTTGTGAGTGCAAACCGGGATATCGATGTGCTAATGACAAATGCTCTAGATGCATTGAAGAGTGTGTCAAGGGACACCAGCCCAGTGCAACAGGTGAGTCTGAATAGAGATAACTGATCCGTTTTTTGATTTAAAACAAAAAAAATAGGCATCTGACTGCAAGATATTTCTTGTGTGAATTCACAAGGCTGTGAGCCATGTCCTCCAGGGACGTACAATGACAAGATCCATCAATACTGCATAAACTGGACCAAGTATGATGCATTTCCCATCTTTTCATTCACCTATTCATGTAGCTACGTATCATAAGCAATGTTAAACACTGTATCTCTCAACCCACAGATGTACGAAGCCAGACCATCAAATAATAGTGCCTGGAAATGCATACACAGATGTAATCTGTGGCCCTAAACCAGACCCCAAACCAACAGTGTTGCCTGCAAGTGACACGGAAAGTGGTATGAATGACAGAAATAAATAGCAGAGAATATGTGGGCCACGTTCAAACTGACCTCACTGATAACAGACATCATAGGAGGATGTGTGTATATGTGTGTGTGTAAGATTACCTTTTAAACGATGTAAAACTATAAATTTGATTTCCATTGGCATTGTTGCTATTTGCTACAGAGGTCACTGTTATTCTCATCATCTTTGGGCTCATCAGCATAGCAATACCTGTTGCTACAATCCTCTTCCTGGAGTGGAGAAGAGGAAAGGCCACTCAGAAACCCCATGTTGAAAAGGAAACTCATGCAGGTAAACATCTTTGTGTGCTTTCTTTAGTTATTCAGCACATAGGTTTGCTAGAGAGCTCTTGTATCTTCATGCACCTTTCTAGCATGAACATGTTTTTCTGTGTGTCTTTTGCTCAGCAGGAGGACAGACTCAAATGTCTCTTCTTGATGAACCCAGCTTCTGTTTTCCGCAGCAGGAACACGGCGGTAGCAATCAGAGTTCGACCGCCTCGCTGGTCTCACAGGATATCGGGCCTTTGGTAGCATGAACTGTGTTGTGTAGCAAGCTGAACATAAATGAGCGTTTATTTGTAGTTATATGCAGATATGTATAATATCTATGTAATGTGTAATTTATTTACTGAATTCTACTGGAATCCTGTCATTAAAACTGTATTCATGATGTTTGTGCCATTTTGTTGCTATTAAAGCAGCACTATGTAACTTTTGGCGCTCAAGCGGTTAATAAACAGAACTGCACACATCCCGCGGAAGAACATTCCAACCGGAGCTACTTCTCTAAGTTTATGTCTATGGCGATTCACGCAGGTATGTGTTACTCCGCAGCGGTGACGACCCGACCAGGCTACAATAGTCCAAATATAAGTACTTATTATAAGTGAACCGTAGCGATTCGGAATAAGACAAAAACGCGGTTTGGAAGATTAATTCATTATGTACTCGCTCATTTTATACATTTTGCAAATTTTGAACACAGAAAAAGTTACATAGTGCTGCTTTAAAGTAGCTGAAGTATTTAAGATGTTGAATGTACCATGTTTTCTTATTATGCCCATGTTCTGAAACAATACATTTTGTTTACTAAAATGTTTACTGCTAAGAATCAAACCTTTCTGAAATGTGCGCAGATGACTTTTTTTAAATTATGAAAACATGTAAGATGTTAACACGAAAAAAAGAGGGGACAATTAAAATATGATTAAAATATGAAAGCTCAGTTGCCCTCTTGCCATTTAAGAAAAAGGGATGTTCATGCTCAAAATGTGCTCAGATGACTTTTATTTTGAAAACACGTAACGTTAACACACATTATACAAAAGAAAAAAAGTCCTCAAATATGAGACCTGCAAACTCAGTAGGAGTTCAGTAGCTCTTTAGACTTTCAGAAAAGAGGTGGTCAATCTCAAAATGTGCTCAAATGACTTATGAAATGACTTATAAAAACACTAAGATGTTACAATAAAAAGAGAAATAAAAAACTCAAACATGAGACCTCTGAACTTCATACAAGTTCAGTTGCCCACTTTTCCTTTAAGAGGAATTCATGCTCAAATTGTGCTCAAATGACTTTTATTGTGAAAATATATAAGATGTTAACACAATACAAAAACAAAACACAGAAATCCTCAAATATGAGATGTCTAGACTCAGCAGGGGTTGAGTTGATCTTTAGCCTTTCAGAACAGAGAGGCCTTCATGCTTCATGTCATCGCCACGCTGCACATGCACAAAAGGTTAAAGTATGTGTGGGGGGTGCAGAGACCTCTGCACTGAAATATTGTGGACTGTCAGGATGTGACGGTGTTTGATATTTTATTTCAACACCATCAGAATTCCCCTGCATAGCATTCATTTAAATCCACTAAATTTCCAACTGCAAAACCCCTGAATCTTCACATTCTGATAAAAGACTTCTCAGGGTCTTTTTTGACCTCTGAACTTCAGATGAATGTTTCCCAATAATATCAGTAAACACAGACTTGCTGTTCTTTTTTAGAATTGAAAATGAGGAACACACATTTACAAAACAAATGTGCATTAAAACCCTTGGAAAATACTGGAATAAGGCGATTGTATGGCACAACACAAAAATAGCAGAAATAAGGCATGACATCCCTTATACAAACATAAAATAAAAGGCCTATGGTGTCTTTTTAACTATTTTTTTCCAGTTTTTTAATTTTTTTTTACTTGTTTTATTTGTTAATAACAAAGATGTTATTCCACTGCATGTACATTAAATGACTAAACCTGAAGATGAAAAAAATTTTAATACAAGCATTTAAAGGCAGGGTAGGTGATTTGGTTCAAAAACATTTTTGTTATGCTGGTTGAAAGTCTCTTCACATCCTGATAGCAATCACTAAGTTAAGTAGTCTAAATGTATTTATATTGTCTGTGGAAGGAGTAGGACCATAAAATGTTTGTCCAATCATATTCCTCGGTCCGAGGGCTCCTATAGGCTGTCCTACCTGCCTATCAACGTATGTATTTGCATACCTCCACGCACGTTTGCGCAGACAAGATACGTCATCAGCGTGTTACATTGCGCTACTGCAGATCAACCGAGGATGAAAGGTGTTATTATTGTAATATTATGCATTGAACCCTCCACCAGTGCCATCTCTCATAGTGTCATGTGTTTTGGAGGTGGCGTGGCTCTGGAGAATGATTTGCAGGAAGGGTGGGATCTTATGCTTTCAAAGCTAGCTTGCTATTGCTAGCCTCTCCGAAATCACTTACCCTACCTTTAAAACAGGTTTTTAATCATCATATAATGAAGGAACTTTGCTTCTGTGTATTTTAATAGTTTAAAAGTAAGTGCTTATCTTAAATTACGTACATCTCCCTTGGTGCCGTCATGTTGTGTGATGCCATACAACAACATGATGAAACCATGAATTGTTACTCAGTCTAAGAGTTTAATCTGTGTCCATAAATTGGATTCTACAATACTTGTTTAGACACTCAAAAGACAACACTACAGTAAGTTAGTCACATGTTCACTGCTGTTTACAGTTCTCTTTCTTGTCTTTGGCTTTGTGACGTCCTGCTTTGTCGCTCTGCCTTTTAGTTGGTGGTATGAAGGTGGGTTCTGGTAAATAGTCATAAAAGATGCTGTGCGGGTTACGAGGGGCTAAACATAGACCTGCTGAGAAAACAGGAAATGGCTGCTGATGTGGCACAAATACACTTATTGAACTTTCCTATTATATAACAGTGTGTTCATACCTGATGGGGGGCTGGTGGAAGTTTGGCTCTCACGCTTCCTAGCCTTGAACGTTGGGTCCAGTTCTTCGGCAATATTGTGTATGTGTTGGTTTCGGCTGAAAAGAGATGAAGATACTGTAAGTGTTGAAAGGTGTTTTTGAGAATGTGTGTGATAAAGAACGTGTGACTTACAGCGCAGTGCATGATGGGCTTGCTAGATGGCTTTCTATGGAATAGTCTTCCTCTTCCACAGGTGAATGCAGTCCGTCTGAGTTCAGCCTCTCACGCAACATCTGAAGAGACTAAAAATTGAGACGACAACGGCCCAAAATGTCAAACTAAATTACAAAATGTCCATTTACACAAAAACAGAAATGTGAAACAAATTGCAAACAAAATGTTGTTCCACATAAAAAGGTAATTGCAACATTTTATCTCACAATTCAGATTTTTTTTCTCACAATTATAAAAAAGCTGGAATTGTGAGATATAAACTCAAAATTGCATGTTAAGACATAAACTTGTAATTCTGAGTAAAAAGTCATAACTGCCAGATATAAACTCAGAATTGTGGGGAAAAACAGTCAGAATTGCAAGATATGAAGTCAATGAAATAAATGTTTATCTCGTGCTGAAAACAAGTTATAAAACAATTATAAACCGTAATCTCTAGCTTCCGCTAACTGTTGTATGTAGTGATGAACGCAGAAGCGTAGAGGAGAGAGCAAAACAAAACACCAGTCACGAATTAGAAGTACAAAACAAGGATTTGTAAAGAAAAATGTCAGAGGATTTCGATATAAGCCAAGAGGAGACTGGTTTTCCTTTGCTGTAAACAAAACTTAGTTCTCGTGAGACTAGCATATTCTCACTGGAGCTTACGCTACGACTACACCCTCCGCTGGAACGCCACTCTCTCCTGAACACGTGTACGACAGTTAGTGGAAGCTAGAGATTACGGTTTATAACGTTTTAAATATAGATATTTTTCTTACACAAACGCATCAATTCTCCCCTCCCGGAGCCATGTGGAGCACTTTTTATGATGGATGGATGCACTTTTTTGGGCTTCCAAATAGAGGTCTGCGCGGGACTATTTTTTTTAGTCCCGCTCCCGCAAGTCAGACTTTGTTCCGTGTTTTGTGTGTGTATTGCTCCCCATGTACCTTCCTATGCCCATATTTGGTTAGTGTCCTGATTATGTTGATTTGATTCCAGGTGTTCCCCGTTTTATTTCCATTGATCCCAGGTGTGTCTCGTCCTCTCCTCATCCTGTCATGTGTTTAAATAGTGTTCCCTGTCTTTAGTTCGGCGTCCGGTATTGTACATGTCTACCCGTGTTATGTGTGTATTCCTTGTTCCCTGGATGGCATTAAAACTTGTTGGTTTGAATTCTACTCCTCGTCTGTTCGCTCCTTCGTCTCAGTGACAGAATACTGGACCTAACAAAAAGTGAGCAGCGTCTTTTCCCCGTGTTTGTTTTCCCGGCTTTTTTGACAGTTTTTGTTTTCCCTGGTTTTCCCCCATCGCAGCATGGAAATGGCCACTCGGTTCATCGCCCTGGCTCGCCGAGATCTCCCGCTGGTGAATACTCATTCGTGGGAGTTCTGCGGGCTCGCCACGGCGACGGCATTCGATGATGCCACCATCAACTCGCTGTTCTGGCACGGGGCCAACTTCCATCGCCCCGTGGACCTCCCAGACACCAGGACTAAGCTGGAGGGAAGGGATCCTCCGGTGTCTGGAGAGCGTCCTGCCCCCAGCCAGACCCAGCCTGCCGGCCGCGGGGAAGTCAAGCCCGCCGTCCAGTCTGTCAGCTGATCCCCAGTCAAGCCCGCTGCCGTCCGCGGCATTCTCAAACCCGCCGCCCACTGCTGTCTCATGCCCACCGGCCGCGGCTCTGTCCCGCCCGCCGGCCGTTCCGATGTCAAGTCAGCCGGCCGTTGCCGAGTCAAGTTCGCCGGCCGCTCCTATGGCAAGCCCGCCCGTTACTCCTGTGGTAAGCCCGCCGGCGGTTCCCCAGTCAAGCCCACCGACCACGCCTTTCACCCCGAGCCAGAAAAGGAATCAAAGGAGGCAAGAAGATTTTGGGGGGGGCCATATGCCTGTGACCGAGCCAACCAAGTCCACGGAGGATCCACCATGGTCTCCTGAGTCTCCTGATCCGCCATGGCCTCCCGAGGCTCCTGATCCGCCATGGCCTCCCGAGTCTCCTGATCCGCCATGGCTCCCCGAGCTGCCTGATCCGCCATGGCGCCGCAAACGGGTACCGCTCTGTCCTGAGGGACCTCCAGAGCGCCCCCCCCTCCCCGTAGGATGTTGTGTGGCGCGAGGACGCGCCTTCTGTGCCAGCACCTCGTAAGCGCTTCCCAGATCCCCAGTTCAGCCCAGGGAGGGCTCCGGATCCCCAGTTAAGCACAGGGAGGGCTCCTGATTCCCCGTTTAGCTCCTGATCCCCCGTTTAGCCCAGGGGGGGCTCCTGATCCCCCGTTAAGCCCAGGGAGGGCTCCTGATCCCCCGTTAAGCCCAGGAAGGGCTCCCGGCCCCGAGTTCAGCCCCGT